AGGGGGGACCCCTTCAGCCCCACCTGCGCTCCTGCCCAGTGGGTACTGTGCGTTTCACAAGCACAAAGCCCTGGAAAGAGAGAGTCGAAGGGCTCTCATTATGATTGCTGATGTTCATCACTCACATACATCACGGGCGGCACAAAATGCCAACCAAAGAGCCAGCGTGGGAAAGGGGGAGACTCGTATTGGCAGGAATGACTCGATTACTCCTGGTGCTGGCGTGTTACAGACAGTGTGCAAGGGAGTGTGGGAGGCGGTTGTTACCGTGCACGGATGTGGTCACCGGGATGAAGACGCGTCAGCAATTCACAGTGGCATCAAGCTGTACCTTCGGGTTCTTTCTCAGAGAAAGGGCCCAGGCCCGAGATCTGCCTCTTCCCTTCTACAATGCAGCAGGTCACACCTGAAAATGGAAGTCACCTAAAATAATCCCGATAAAATGAAATAACAAACTATGAGTGAGATATAAATAAAATATAAAGAAAAATAAAATACATCCAGAGCCCTGCACGGTATGAGCGATAAACACGAGCCACGGCCTCGTCTGCGGGTCCAGCCCGCGGTGGCCAGGCTCACGGACACCCTTGGTGGGCCTGGTTCGAGGATCTACCTCGGTCTGTTCATGTGAGGAGAAGCAGACAGGCGAGCACGGAGCACCCCAGGCTCTGCACTGTGAGCAGGTGCACGCGCAGGAGGCGGCCTTCCTGACGACCACTCAGCTTCAGCTTCTCCTCTTCAAGTTCCCTAACTGGACACTGGCCTGGGACGGAGTCTCCTGGAAGCGCGCAAGTCCCACCTGAGTGGCGTGGCTGTCACCAGTGAGGCATCTACTTGGGCAGTTTCCTGCTTCCAACCCTGACGGGAGGCCAGGACCCTCACCAGGAGGGTGGCTTTAAAAAGGTCTGGACGATGCCATCCTCAGTGTTTCCCACCTCCTCTCTCACCGCATTATGCCACCCGTGCGGACATTCCCCTATTTTATGGGCATTCGCTCCATTAGATGATAAATTCTAGAAGGGCAGGGTCCCATCTGATCCATTAGGTCAGCGGTTCTCAACCTGTGGGTCGCGACCCCTTTGGCGGTCGAACGACCCTTTCACAGGGGTCGCCTAAGACCATCCTGCATATCAGATATTTACATGACGATTCATCACACTAGCAACATTACAGTTATGAAGTAGCAACGAAAATAATTTTATGGTTGGGTCACAACCTGAGGAACTGTATTTAAAGGGCCAGAAGGTTGAGAACCACTGCATTAGATGATAAATTCTTCAAGGGCAGGGTCCCATCTGATCATGTCTGCAGCCACCAGTGCTTAGCACAGACTCAGGCAGAGACTAAATAGAGTTTTTAAAAGAAAGGCCTTCCAGTGTGAGGTCTGGGGAGAGTGATGGCAAAAGCACAGGCTCCGTGTGAAGTTCCGTCCGGGGACGTCCGCCTGCTCCGCCCCACAGTGTGTGGGCAGAAGGCAGCGCGCTCTCTACAGGACACGGCAGGAAACTAGCAAGACACACGCATAGGCGCCTGGCCACACTGACCGACCGCTCGCCTTCCTCAGAGCCAGCAATCGTGACGCAGGGGGTTTGTCACGTGGAATGGGTTCAGCCTCCTCAGCCTGAGTGGTAACGGCTTCTGGGTCGGCTGCAGGAAAAGGCGCTGAGGCACATTCACAGAATTCAGACTGGCAGCCACCTGAGCCCAGATGCGCTGCTGTTCTCCGCTGTGTGTCCAGTGTCAGCCTCTCCCCAACTCTCAACGTAACCATGGCTGACACTATGCTCGGAGGGGGGAATGGTTTTATCACATAGCTCAGTGATGGCGAACCTGACACGCGTGTCAGAGGTGACACGCGAACTCATTTTTTTGGTTGATTTTTCTTTGTTAAATGGCATTTAAATATATAAAATAAATATCAAAAATATAAGTCTTTGTTTTACTATGGTTGCATATATCAAAAAATTTCTATATGTGACATGGCACCAGAGTTAAGTTAGGGTTTTCCAAAATGCTGACACGCCGAGCTCAAAAGGTTCGCCATCACTGACATAGATCGTCCACTCGGGCACTGAACGGAGCTGAAAACCTCTAGTCCGGAGGCTGCTGAAGTCTTAATGAAATGCTCTGAGTGCGGGAAGCTTAAGCCTAAAGTTTCAAAGAGGCGATTTCGTCACAGCCACCGTGTACCAGTCACTTTGAGGCTGTGTAGCCTTTTCTTTATTTTTTTATTTAAAAAAAATATATGTTTGTTGATTTCAAAAAGGAAGGGACAGGGATTGGGGGATAGAAACATCAATGATGAGAAAGAATCATTGATTGGCTGCCTCCTACATACCCCACACTGGGGATGGAGCCCACATCCGGGGCATGTGCCCTGACTGGGAATCAGTGACCTCCTGGTTCAGCGCTCAAACCACTGAGCCATGCTGGCTGGGTAAGCTTTTCTTCTTTAAGGGTTAATGTATGTGTATGTATTTTTCATTGATTTTATTGAATTTTTTCCTTAATTCATTATAAAGAAAATTTCCTATAGCTAACCTCTCATTACAAATATTCCTAGGGTACCTCTCCAAATTTTAGCACATACCCCCCCCCCCCCCCCCCCGCCACAGGCACCATCACAGACACTTTGCCCCCTCTTCTCACCCACACGCCCCAACTGCCTTTCAAGGGCGGTATTTGCAAACCTGTTATATCGACGAGGAAACCTGGCCCAACCCTCTGGCTTGGGAGCAAGCCCAGAAGTAGCCTGGCACTGTCTGCTTAGAGACCTGCCACCAGGATGTTTTATCCCAGAAACAACGCTCCTCTTGCAAATTCCAAAGCTCAGAGGGTCAACCCGAGCCACAGTCAAGCCTTTTCTGCAACGGAGTCCATTGCTGTGGGTTGGCTGAGCAGCTAGAGAAGAAACCAGGAGCTTTCAAAGAACTGGCCGTCCTCAGCAAACACCCACTGACCCCGCAGGGATACTCGCAGAAATGCCACCTGTTCCAGCTCTTGAGAAGGCAAATCCCTATGGGGAGACCTACGGGTGCAGATGAAGACACTGATGGGGAATTACAGAGGAGCGAGTCCCTCCACACTCTCCCGGGCACAGCTCTCCAGCTGCTTCCAACCTGCCACTAAGGGTTAGGGTTAGGATTGCGGCTAGGTTCAGCGTTCGGGCTAGGGTTAGGGTTAGGGTTAGGGCTAGGGCTTGTGCTAGAGTTAGGTTTAGGGTTAGAGCCAGCATTAGGCCTAGGGCTAGGGTTAGGGCTTGGGGTAGGGTTAGGGTTAGGCTTAGGAATAGGACTATGGCTAGGCCTACATCTTGGCTCCATGCTTGCCTCAGGACTATTGGGGTTCGTGCCCTAGAAAATGTGTTTTAAACACCTACCCAGGTTGTTGTGATGTAGTTGAGGAGCAGGTCACTGCGAATTATTGAAAACACCTGAGTCCAGGAAGGCTGGAGCGGGTGGGGAGGGTTAGGGTTAACCTTAGGGCAAGGTTTAAGGCTAGGGTTAAGGTTAGGGCAGTGATGGTGAACCTTTTGAGCTCGGCGTGTCAGCATTTTGAAAAACCCTAACTTAACTCTGGTGCCGTGTCACATATAGAAATTTTTTGATATTTGCAACCATAGTAAAACAAAGATTTATATTTTTGATATTTATTTTATATATTTAAATGCCATTTAACAAAGAAAAATCAACCCCAAAAATGTGTTCGTGTGTCACCTCTGACACGGGTGTCATAGGTTCGCCATCACTGGCCTAGGGCTAGGGCTAGGTTTAGGGCTATGATAGGGTTAGGATTACGGGATTCCTAAGGCACAATGAGCCTAGCCTCCTGGCAGAGGACCTCAGAGATGGCTGGGCATAGGGGTGCCGGGAAAGAGGGTAAAGGCTGTGACCGAGTGGGGAAGGACTTGGGTCAGCTTAGCCTGGTCTGGGGGATCTGGTCCCAATTCGGTGGCTTTGTTCCATGCTGACCCCCAGAATATCAGGGGTGGTGCCCTATAAAGTGTGTTTTAAACACCTACCCAGGTGGTTTTGAGGTAGGTGAGGAGGAGGTCACGGTGAGTCATTGAAAACACCTGAGCCATGGAAGGCTGGATCCGGTGGGGTAGGGTTAGAATTAGAGATAGGGTTAGGGCTAGGGCTATGGTTAGTGCCAGGGTTAGGGTTAGGGCTGGGGTTTGCTCTAGGCCAGTGGTTCTCAACCTTGGCTGCACATTAGAATCACCTGGGAATCTTTTTAAAATCCTGATTTCTGGGCCTCATCCTCCGGAAATTCTGTTTCTTTGTTATAGAGTGAGGCCACAACATTAGTAACAAAGAAACAGAATTTCTGAAGGATGAGGCTCAGGAATCAGGATTTTAAAAAGATTCCCAGGTGGTTCTAATGTGCAGCCAAGGTTGAGAACCACTGCTCTAGGGTTAATGTTAGGGTTAGAATTAGGGCTCGGGGTAAGGTTAAGGTACGAGTTAGGGCTATGGCCAGGGTTAGGGTTATGGTTAAGGTAAGGGCTAGTGCTAGGTTTAGGCTTAAGATTAGGGCTAGTGTTCGGGTTTAGGCTTAAAGTTAGGGCTAGGGTTTGGACTAGGGTTAGGTTTAAGGTTAGGGTCTAGGGCAGCAGTTTTCAACCTGTGGGTCGCAACCCCTTTGGGGGTCGAACGACCCTTTCACAGGGGTCGCCTAAGACCATCGGAAAACAAATATATAATTACATATTGTTTTTGTGATTAATCACTATGCTTTAATTATGTTCAATTTGTAACAATGAAATTGGGGGTCACCACAACATGAGGAACTGTATTAAAGGGTCGCGGCATTAGGAAGGTTGAGAACTGCTGATCTAGGGCTTGGGTTACTTTGCCTCCAGGTAACTATAGGTCCTCATCTGCTTCTCTGAATGTATCTGGCTCCCCAACAGCAAATTCCAATGAATCTCAGTATCAGTAATTGTTATGTCTCAGTAGTTCTGCCAAAGGTACCAAATCATAAAACCAACCAACCAACAAAAAAGATGCTGAGAATGACAACAGACTACACCATTATCTTGGCAGGCATTTTGTTTATAATTTTTATCATCAATAATAGAATGTCACTGTTTTACATTATATATTTATATATTATGTGTGTATATATATGTATATATATACATATACACATGTATATATATTAGATATCTATACTTCAATAGAAAGAGACATAAAAAACGCTTTTCAAATGAGGCAAGACATGTGACACTTGGCACTCTTATTTACATACAGGGATGGACTTTCTACAGTTAGAATGGATGCTCAGAGGCCAGAGTGGGGTTACAAAGACAGCGGAGCTCCCCTGTAAAAAAGAGGCGCCCCATGCGGCTGGACGTTTATTGCCATGAGTTCTCGTGAGGTCCAGACAGCAGATTGTAGTTAAAAATGGCATCTGGTTTTGGGGAAGGACAGTAGTCATCAGAGTCACCCTGACCACCGGCGATGCGGTCGGTCTTCTGACGACCAGGGAATGACACGGTGCTGATGGAAGTGGGAGCACACAGTGAAATGCACGGACTCCCCCTCTGGCCGGAAAAGGAGTTGCTACAAACCTGGGGTCCTGCCCTGGCTGGGGCGCTAGTCCAGGCAGGGCGTATAGCAGCATGCGCTCCGCTGCAGGAACCGAATCCCTCCTGGGGGAGGCTGGCACTGCTCGTGGGTAGCGGAGTCTATGCCCATCGGGAACTTAATACCCAAAGGACCCCCTGCCCCCCAGACAGAAAGAACAGATGAGAGATCGGAGGCCCAGAGGGAAGCCCTCACCCCTTGGTGGGATCTGCCTTTGCAGATCATCCATCACCTGCCCCCCTCTCGTTCTTTCTCGAGGCCCACTCTGCTCTCCTGCAAAGGCGCCTCTCTGCACACATCTCCCAGCCTCTGCACGGGGTTTCCAACACCACGCTGTGGCCATGGGAGGGGCGAGCCCGAGTTTGCTTGGCTTCATGGCCTGCGGTCAGGGCCCAGTTTCCACACTTTCTAAGGGAATGTTGCCGAAGCAGGAGGAGGGTTCTGGGATGATGACATGCTCAGCGTTCTCTGTCTGCTCTCACGCCTCCAGCAGAAGGGTCCCCCATGTTAGTCATCCCCGCATCCTCGGTCATGGTTCTCTGGGCTTCCTTTAGCCCGTAGGGTGCACTCAGCCTTGGGGACCTGATTAAACATTCTGGTAAGTTTCAAAACTATCCCTTAGGCCACTTACCAATAATGCATGTAGAACCCTCCCCCTAACCATTGTCCTTCCCTCCGATCTCACTATCGCTCCTGCTGTCTTGTAGGGTTTTTGTTGTTTTTTATCCATGGTGACCTTCCCTAGCCCTTTAGTTCCCTAAGGCAAGACGACCTTGCTATTGAAAGACACCCAGCACCTTCCCTGAGCTCCCCTGAGGTTGTGGAATCCAGCTTTCCTCCATTTAGATGCTTTCTCCCTCCATGGACGGAGGAGCCGCTGGCCACGTTCATGGGTTTAATTTTCTGCAATTGCGTCCAATGCTGACCTAGCATTTCTTTGGAAGTACACCCGCCGGAGCGCCACGCACGTGAGCATCAGTCTCGGTGCCCGCTTCTGCCAGCTTTAGTCCAAGTCCATCTTCCCGACCACGGACAGAGACTAAGCCATCGCAATAACACATGGAGCGGGGCTGAGCGCAGCAAGGTCTGGAGGAGGAGGGAGGCAGCTAGTGGGCCAGCTCTCTCTAGGTTCCTCTATAGCATCACTTCCATCCCCCCCCACCTGCAATCACCCCCCCACACACCGCCGGGAGGCCGTGGACTTGGGGTCTCTAAAGCATTCCTTCGCCTTGGCTGAGGAAACAGGAGAGGAGAGCGAGGCCTTGCATGTCCTTGAACAAGGTGGCACATGGAGGCTACGGAGGGTCCTATTTACACCAGTATGTTCACTCCGCACAGAGGTTAACCTGAGTTCTGAAATGCTTGTTTGCACGTACTTTAATTTGAAAAATGATAAAGCTATGCGCTAGCCACCCGCTGGACACGCCTGGCGAAGGTGGAGTGCGCCTGCCCCCTGCCAACCGCTGCGGGTTACAAAGGCGGGCTCCCCAGCTCCAAGTTCTGTGGCTTTATTTTCTCTAGAGAGCATCTCGGATGGAGGAGCCTCCAGGTGGCCAGACAAGTTGGGGCAAAGCCTGTTTTGATCCCTGTGGTTCCGGGCTTTCCCAAATCTCCCAAATGGAAGTTTGGGTCCCGGTCCGCCCTCCTGTGTCCCTCAGGCCTCCTCTCGGCTTTGCGCTGGAAGGGCCAAGCTCCCGCGGGTGGGCCTTGGGCGGGCCGGGCGGCTCCGGCAGCTGCTACTTGAAGTAGTTGAGTCCCACCACCAGGAAGAACTTCTCCAGGAACAGCTCCGAGTCCAGCACTGCGATGTGCGCCGCGCGCCCGATCAGGGTGTTGGCGGTGTTGGGCAGCGCGTGGAACACGTTGTGCCGGATCAGCGTGCAGTCCTTGGCTTCCACCAGGGGGCGCAAGAGGTTGTTGATCATTTCTGCATAAACAGGCCCTGTGGGGAGGGAGCAAGCCAGGGGTGCAGGCTGAACTTAGGGGGACAATGTTCACTGGGTGAATGTAGGGGTCAGGCAGACTTAGGGGAACTCACAGAGGAACCTGGAGAGACACTGGGTGCGGGCGAGTTCCTATCCCTGAGCGGGTTCCTATCCCTGGACGGAACATCTGATGGGCCCCACTAGGCAGAGTTTAAATTTCATGAATGCACGTCTGCTTTTATTATTTTTTAAAGTCTATACTTTTATTTCAAGGAGGAAGGGAGAGGAAAGAGAGCTAGAAACATCAATGATGAGAGAGAATCATTGATCGGCTGCCTCCTGTACGTCCCACACTGGGGATCGAGCCCACCACCCAGGCCTGTGCCCTGACTGGAATTGAACTGGGACCCTTCCATCCACAGGCTGATGCACTATTCACAGAGCCAAACCAGCTAGGGCTTTATTATTATTTTTTTAATCCTCACCGGAGAATATGTTTCTAATTAATTTTTTAGAAAGAGAGAAACATCGATGTGAGAGAGAAAGCCCAATGTGAGAAACATCGATGGCTTGCCTCTTGTGTGGGCTCTGATTGGGACTGAACCCGCAGGCATTTGGTGTATGGGATGACACTCCAATCAACTGAGCTACCCGGCCAGGGCTGAATGGTTGCTTATTAATTTTTTTATTTATTGATCGATTGACTTTAGAGAGAGGAGAGAGAAACATCGATTTGTTGTTGCACTACCCGTGCATTCATTGGTTAATTCTTGTATGTTCCCTGCCCTGGGATGGAACCTGCCACCTTGGTGCAGGGGAACCAACTGAGCCACCTGGCCGGGGCCGCATTTGCTTTTTCTTTTCTTTCTTTCTTTCTTTTTTTTTCTTCTTTGCGTTTGCTTTTTCAATTGTGCGAATGAAGCGGGGCTTACCTGTGTGCCTGTCCTTCAGGGCGGTTTTGCACATTTCGATCCTGGCGGAGTGAAATGGCACGTAGCGATCTTGGGGTGAAGCCACCAGCACGACATTTTTAAAATACTGCAGACCTGCAATGAGCCAGGGGGTGCTCTTTACCTGGCATTTCAGGGTGCGTCCTCCGGTCACACAGCCTGTGCACCTGCCCCGAGAGAGGGCAAGCGGGCGAGCAGACTGACACCGGGTTGTGTGGGTGCATGAGGGTCTTCTGGTCTGCGAGGCCGAGCAAAGCATCTGCCGCTGGAGCTTTAGTGCCAGAGGGGGGGCGGGGGTGTGTGCTCATCGGGGGGAAGTGAAGGCACACAGAGCAAGCTCGCAGACAGGGGAGCCAGTCTAGCTTCTGCTCCTCCTCACCCACTGCTGCCCTCCGCCCGTTCCCGGGGGGGGGGGGGTGGCCTTCTGCACCGCTGGGCCCTTCCTCACTGCGGAGGGGCTGCGGGAAGGTGCCCTCGGGCTGCCTGGGAAGGACCCACCTCCACTGTAAACATAAAGGGACCGTGTTTGTCTGCCCTTTGTCCGTGGACCTGCACCTGGTGGAGGGGCTGTGAGTGGCCCCCAGACCCTGAGCCTGGGCGGTTAGGCGAGGAAAGGATCCGTGTGAATGGGAGGCGAGGGCTCTCCTGCAGAGACCCCGCACGCACACCTGGGCTCCGGGGTGTGATGCCTTTCACCCGCCATGGGGAGACTGAGTTCTCGGGTGGCTCTCGGCCTCCTGGGAGTGCAGAGGCTGTGCCTCCGCTCAAACCCTCCTGTGAGTGAATCAACCTCGCGTGGCGGAAGCCAGTGGGTCGGACTGGATCTCAGCTCACACTCAGGCCCCACCGCGCGGGGGAGCCACTCACCTGTCTTCTGGCTGAGCTGGTAGAGGAAACACTTGCGTAGATCGGCGTTATCCCTGAAGGTGAGCTGCAGGAGGGAGCCCGACTTCTTCAGCTTCTGCATGAGCCACAAGCCTGGGAACCAAACCAAACCAAACTCAAACACACACACACGGGGGCAAGTAACTGGGGAGAGAGCAACAGTCAACTGCGCCTTTTCATCAACACAAACAGAGGAGGGCAGCAGGCATTTAGCAAACGCGTGGGAAGTGAGGGGATGTCTGTACCCTTACACACTGGGGACAGAGACACAAAATCGCCCTGTGAAACAGCATGGCGCAGGCTGCGGCAGTCCTGAAACTCCCACACTCTCCGATCTGCTTGTCCCCGTCCCTAAATCCGGGCTAAGGAACCAACCCTAAATACAAACTCGCATAAAGAATGCTCCTTACAGATCCAGTTAGGGTCTAAAAAGCGAAAGTCAACCTCGCATCTCCGAGTCCCTCCACTTCCCGTGGCTATGCCGACACTGACACGGATGAGTATGAGTATCATGTCACCACCACAATTTTTTTATAAAAATGCAAGGACATAAACAAGATACAATGTGCACATATGTGATCATTACTGCCATGTAAATGTGTATCATATATGCATATCATATATATGGTGTGTGTTTAGAGACATACATACATATGTATATGTTATATATGTAACCATACATATATACACACATTCGGTCCATTTTAAAACTAAGGAAACGCAGCAGCACAGAGACTAGAGGTCTCGGCAAGAGTCCTCACTAAGTGTCTGGGTTAGAACTTGACGGCAGGCTTGTCATGGGAGTGATGTGATTGAACACCCTTACTATAGACTCCGCCCCCGCAGGCATCTGGCTGAGTCTGCCTCTGGCCTCCCCTCCCCTCTGCCATAACCGAATGTTGTATTCCCCCAAGTTCATATGTTGAAAACTAACCCCTCAATGTGATGGCATTTGGAGGTGGGACCTGTGGGAGGTGGTTGGGCCATGAGGGTGGGGCCCTCCTGAGTGGGGTTAGTGCCGTAATTGAAGAGACCCAGGGAGCTCCCTCCCTGCCACTGAGGACACAGCAAGAAGAGGGCCATCCATGAACCAGGAGCCTGGCCCTCACTAGACAGTGAAGTTGGGGTGCCTAGACCTCAACTCCTGGCCTCTAGGTCTGTGACCGTCCATGGTGACCGCGACAGCAGCCCCAACGAACTGAGACTCCCATGCTCTCTCCTCTTCACGATCAGCTTTTGAACCTTTTCCAGCTAGCACCCCAGGGACATCACCTCCTTGTTCCCAGGAAACTGGAAGCAGAAGAGGTCCTGGGTCCATCCAGTCCAACCTCATTCAACACAAACCAAAGGCCGCCTTTCTCAGCTCAGCCCTCTCTCCACCGTCCATGCTGGAGGAGGCTCCAAACTCACAGGGTTCCGTCAATAACAGCGTCTGGCCCAACCAGCATGGCTCAGTAGTCAAGCATTGACTATGAACCAGGAGGCCATGGTTTGATTCCGGTCAGGGCACATGCCCAGGTTTTGGGCTCCATCCCAGTGTGGGGTGTGAGGAGGCAGCTGATCAGTGATTCTCTCTCATCACTGATGTTTCTATATCTCTCTCCCTCTCCCTTCCTCTCTGCAATCAACACAAAAATATATATTTTTAAGAAGAGCAGCGCCTGCCCCTAGCCTCCCCTCCCCTCTGCCCCGGATGAACTCTGGGCATTGCCCGGCGTGGGAGAGTCTCACCTGTACTGACCAGGGTGCTGTTGTTGTACAGGGTCCCCAGGTGCGGCCCGGACAGCGACAGGAAGGTGTGCAGCTTGCTGAGGTAATAGCGGAACCGGGGCCTCGTGAGGACCGAGCGGATGATGATGTTGCCCAGAGAATGGCCGATGAAGCTGATCGGAGAGAAATCGGGTCAGTGAGCCTGAGGGTCCTGCGCAGGGAGCGCTGGGGTCAGCGCCCTGCACCCTCCACCAGTTTGGGGCACTAATCCATCCCCACCAGGTGTCCAAACTCTGGCCGGGGTGAGCGCCAGCCGGGTCTTCATGAGTGGACCCTCCTGTGCCCAGTGTGGTCCGGAGAGACATGTGGGCATCTTGCCCAGCTCCCGGCCCCGTCCCTATGTCTTCTCTCGTCCACATGGGTGTCCTTTCTGAGCAATGAACTGCCCTGGTCATCCATTGAATGCAATCCCATCTCCCATGAGGCCCCTCTCCCCTGTCATTCACTCATCATTCACTCCCCTGCTAGACACTCGTCACCGCCTGCTCCCTGCCCACATGGGCGGACACCCATCCTACATGCTCCAGTCCTGGTCCCACAGACCACGGATCCAACACAGCATTATTTTCAACTTAAAGAATTACTATGGCTCTAGCAGGTTGGCTCAGTGGATAGAGCGTTGGCTTGTGGATCAGAGTCCTGGGTTCGATTCCGGTCAAGGGCATGTACTTTAGTTGCAGACTCCTCCCTGGCCTTGGCTCTAGTTGGGGTTCGTGCAGGAAGCAACCAATCAATGTGTTTCTCTCACACCGATGTTTCTCTCTGTCTTTCCCTTTCCCTTCCACTCTCTCTAAAAATCAATGGGAAAATATCCTCAGGTGAGGAATAATAATAACAACAACAACAATTATGGAAACCCTGTCACATGAGAGGGACACCTCTGGCCTCTTCCCAGCATGCCCTGTGGTTGCCCCCTGACCCCTGGAGGCCTCTGCGCCCCAACTTGTGAGAGGAGGAGGGCCTGCGACTTTACCTCTGAGGACTAAACGGGCTGATGCACGTCGAGGGCTCGCCACTCTGCCCCACACCCCAAGGGCAGGTGTCAGCTCTCCCCTTCCTGGTGTAAGGCGTAGAGCAAGTCATCTGCTACGGAGGCAGCTCACAGACTGACACCCCTTCCTGCAGGGCACCCGCCCAGCTCTGCCCCCTCAGCTCAGCGCTGGCCCCGCTCCACAGACAGAGGCGTAGGGACAGAAACTCGTGGAGAGATTCCATGGTGGAGTCCAGAGTCGGAATCCTGGGCTTTAGGAGAACCAACATTCAAACTTAGGAATATCTGACCAAGTCGAAGTCTCTTCCTTCGGAGCTACAAACGTTTCTTCTCCCGCACACACTATGGTGGATGTGGGTATGTCACCTCCGCTCTCAACGCCGTCTACACCATTATTATCTTTTAAAGTTTTTTAAAATATATTTTTATTGATTTCAGAGAGAAAGGGAGAGGGAGAGAGAGAGAGAAACAACGATGAGAGAGAATCATCGATCGGCTGCTTCCTGCACGCCCCACATTGGGGATCGAGCCTACAACTGGAGCATGTGCCCTGACCGGGAATCGAACCGTGACCTCCTGGGTCATAGGTCAACGCTCAACCACTGAGTCACATGGCCGGGCCATTAAAGTCACCGTCAGCTCACCCCAGGGGTGTACAGAAGGGATCTGTGGATCTTGTGCACAGCAAACACTCAGAGGCACGCCCCTCCCCCAGCCTGCTCCCCGCGGCTCCCTCACCTGATCCGGGCGATGGAGAGGCTGTACAGCTGGATGTGCTGGATGATCTCATCCAGCAGCCGGTCTGTCATGGTGTCAAAGTCGGCAAACGTGTCCATCTGGAAGAGGAGAGGACATGGGTGGGCGGGGCCAGCAAGGCCAGGCTCCTCCATCCACACCGTGGTGCATGCTGGGAGCGGGCCTCAGCCTGATGCTGGGGTCATGGACAGGAACTCCACATCGAGGGCTCACAGATTGGGACCCCAGTGAAGAGACTCGGGGACACCAGAGTCTCCTCAGTCAGGGGGTGATGGACAAGGAGGAAGGGACAAGGTGGAGATGCACATGCAGTCCCCTGGGATCGCTGTCCCGTGTCACAGAGGAGGAAACACGTGCCGGGAAGTCACACAGACACCAGGGACAGGGACAGCCCCAGGGCGGACCCACAGATGTCCAAGGCACGGATGCTCCGAGCTGTCACCCACCCTGATGTCCAGTGGGTCAGAAGGCCCCAGGCACCCGGCTCCCATGCCCCCACTTCTTCCTCTCTCCTCGCCCTCCGGAAGGAGAAGCGAGTCCTTTCTCTCAGACCATAAGCACCTGCCTGTGTTCTTTGGCAAAGCCCCCTCTTTTTTTTTTTTTTAATATATTTTATTGATTTTTCACAGAGAGGAAGGGAGAGGGATAGAGAGCCAGAAACATCGATGAGAGAGAAACATCGATCAGCCGCCTCCTGCACGCCCCCCACTGGGGACATGCCCGCAACCAAGGCACATGCCCTTGACCGGAATGGAACCCGGGACCCTTGAGTCCGCAGGTCGACGCTCTATCCACTGAGCCAAACCGGTTCCGGCACAAAGCCCCCTCTTATCTGCGCATCCGCAAACTGTCTGGTGACTTTCAGGGGCTCATGTGAGGCCTGACTCGGGGAGCCCCCCGCTCTGAGGTTTGTGTCCTCATACCTGGTTCTTCTCAGACATCAGGAAGTCCAGTTTGCCTCCAGGGAGCCCCAGTTCTATGAAGGTCTTTACCAGCCTGAGGTCCGCACTGTTCCCTAAAACGATGGACAAACCCACCCAAAGTGAAGAACACAAAAGCAGGCACACAAGGATCTTGGCTCTCCTTCTCCCCCCATTCCCACATGCACCAGGGTGTTAGCTGAGCAGATGATATAAACAACTGAAACAAGTCCACCCCCTCCCCCACAGGGTCAGGGCCTTTCGGAAGTCCCCCCCTCCCCCCCATGGCATTACTCCCTGCCCCATAGACACATGGCTGTGGACATTCCCCACAGGACCAGCTGGAGGCGGACTGCCTCCCCTTCTTCCACAGCCAGTGCTGTTCGCTCAGGGCTTTCTGCGAGTGACACCACTCAACGGTTGACAGGACACAACGTGCCATCTACAAGCCCCCTCTTAAGTGTCTTATTTAACACAAAGCTTGTCTAGTTCTGTCACTGACAGGTAGTCAGCGAGGCCCCCAAGTGGGCCAGGCCGGGTGTAGTTGAGTAACAGTGGCCTTTGGAGACAGTCATGAAGGTGTAAGGGCCATGGACGCCACCTGCTCCATAGGGACCGTCGGGGGCAGGAAATGAGCCGCTGCTGATCAGGGAGAAGCAAAGGACATACTCCATTCCTTCCTTCACTCCACTTATCGCTTACAGGTAGTCAGCGAGGCCCCCAAGTGGGCCAGGCCGGGTGTAGTTGAGTAACAGTGGCCTTTGGAGACAGTCATGAAGGTGTAAGGGCCATGGACGCCACCTGCTCCATAGGGACCGTCGGGGGCAGGAAATGAGCCGCTGCTGATCAGGGAGAAGCAAAGGACATACTCCATTCCTTCCTTCACTCCACTTATCGCTTTCTCCCTCCCTTCCTTCCTTCTTTCCTTCCTTCCTTCCCCCCCTCCTTCCTTCCTTCCTTCCTTCCTTCCTTCCTTCCTTCCTTCCTTCCTTCCTTCCCCCCCTCCTTCCTTCCTTCCTTCCTTCCTTCCTTCCTTCCTTCCTTCCTTCCTTCCTTCCCCCCCTCCTTCCTTCCTTCCTTCCTTCCTTCCCTCCCTCCCTTCCTTCCCTCCTTCCTTCCTTCCACTTATCCATTCCTTCCTTCATCCCATTTATCCATTCATTTATTCATTCCTTCATTCCATTTATCCATTACTTCCCTCATTCCATTTATTTATTCATTCCTTCATTTCATTTATCCATTCATTAACTCCATTCATTCCATTTATCCATACATTCCTTCATTCCATTTATCCACTCATTCCTTCATTCCATTCACTCACTCATTCTTGTACTTCATTTTCTCAACAAGTTTGCATGTCAGACAGCTTTCTTTGGAACTCACCATCCAGGCCATGGACACAGACTACCAGGTGAATCCCGTCCTCCAAGTTCTCCTCCTCTTCCTCTGGTGGGAAATACGGCATGTCAGAAGCTAGTACCGATAAGTCACTGTACAGAAATCCATCAATCTTCAGTTCTTTTTTAAATTTCTCTTTGGCCTGATAGAAACTGGAGAATACACTAATTAATCGCACGCCACGCCCTGCATGGCACGTTGAGCGGGGGATGAGTTGATTGGATGCAGGAGTGATGAACATCTACAGGGAAGAATTTGCCGAGTGGCAGAGGCTGGATGTGCGGCCTCAGGGGGATGCTACTGAGGGGAGCTTTGTTCTGAACAAGGAGGCAGGAAAGTGCCCCGGGAAAACCAAAGGCTACTTTGGTTGGGTTCTGCACATTTCTATGCGGTCCCTGCACTGAGCAGGACGTGTGAGGTTCCGCCCAGCTCCAAGGAGCCACACAATCTTTACAAAGACCTCCCCAGAGTGAACGCTTCTTGGCCTTGCCCACAAGGCTCCATGGCTGGGCTTCCAGCTGCTTCTCCAGCACCATCCCCCAGTCTCCAAAACGAACACATTTCTTACAGTTCCCTGCAGGAGTGATGGTGCTTGGTCTCCGTGCCTTTGCGCACTCAGGTCTGTCTGCCTGCAATGCCCCTCCCCCCCGGGTTATTGGGTCCTTTGTGTGGTTATGTGACAAGGTGGTGGTTAGGAGCAAGGACTCAGGAGCCACACTGCCAAGGTCTCGGCTTTGATGTTTACTGGCTGTGGGCCAATCACTTAACCCAGTGGTTCTCAACCTTCTGGCCCTTTAAATACAGTTCCTCATGTTGTGACCCAACCATAAAATTATCTTCGTTGCTACTTCATAACTGTAATGTTGCTACTGTTATGAATTGTAATGTAAATGTCTGATATGCAGGATGGTCTAAGGCGACCCCTGTGAAAGGGTCATTCGACCGCCATGGGGTTGCGACCCACAGGTTGAGAACTGCTGACTTAACCCCTTTGCATTCCAGTTCTTCATTTGTCCAAAGGGAATGACATCACTATCTAATTAGTAAAGTTGGCTTGTGTCTGACGTGATATGATCTATGCAAAATGCTTAGAACACACTTGAAACGTATTAAGAAGAATAAATGTCTCTATTACTAGCCATACCATCATCATCATCATCATCATCACCACCATCAGCAGCAGCATAGGTGTCACCTTCAAAAAGCTTCTCCTGGCCACCTTCTCTATTCACCCTCAGCGTCCCCAGCCCGGCTAGGTCCTGTCCCCATCCTGGCTCAGTGATGCACACACAAACCATCCATTTATCCACCTGCCCTCAATTCCTTCTCTCACCTCCCTGCCTCCCTGTGACACTGCGAGCACAATCGCACTCAGGGCTACCCTGGCCACGCATTGGAGAGAGCGCCTGCCGTGTGTTTGTTAAATTGATGACATGGACACATAATAGACAGTTAATAATCTTTATGAAACAGCGACCCAAAGTCTACCTGCCTGTGCAATTTTTTTTGAAATATCATGAGTAGGTAACTCCTCAGCATTTTGGAAAAGAAAGATGTTTTGGTACTTAATCAAACAGAGCTTGTAGATGAGGCAGCCACGGGGATACAAACCCCACACACGGTGAGGGATGGATTTGGACGTTGCAACACAAATGATTAACTTAGGAACTGCACAAAAGGGGCTCGGGAGGCCAAGCTGATAAAGTCATCCCACTCCCTGAAGGGTTAAAGGACCGCCCGTTCAAAATATGCAAATGTAGAGGTGCAATGACGATCATGAGAGAGGTGACTATCATAATAAACACTGACAAGGACACTTAGATGCCCATCTCTCAAGGATTTTGTTAATAAATCATAGTATATCCATATCGGAGTGTTGTTTAAACGTTAAATGCTCACGCAAAAATAGATGTATCAACAGATTGTTTCCAGCATGTTAGGCTGAAAAACCTTAGTTTGTACAGAATTATCCTGTTTTTTTTGCATAAAATTAATATGTAGATATAGATGCAGATAGAAAAACGTGTGGGAGAACTTACCTAGGGGCTATATGTGAGCAATGGGTAGTTTGTACTTCTTTATACTATTCCACATTTCTCATGTGCAGGATATGAATATATGACTTTATTTAAATGAGGAAATGACAGATCTCAATTTGGGAAGAGTACGCAGGAAACTGAGAAGGAGATGGGAGCATCTACGAGACGGTGTGAGGACAGGTGAGACGCCGGCCGGCTTACCTGAACATCCTCTCGCCGACGCCTTCCTCCAGCGCGCTCGGATGGGTAGAAACAGCCCCGAAGGACCCCAGAGGCTGGTGCGTGATGGGGAGGGGGGTCTGTCTGGAAGAGAACCCAGCCCTGGCAGGGGTCTCCTTGGGCACCGACGAGAACGGGAGACACGTGGCCGTGCAGGACACAGACAAATTGACGACCTCTACAGCTTTCAGGCTGTCGGGAGAGAAGGCCTCTGCGGGGGCGAGGGGGGACCCCATGGCAGAAGTGCCCGCCCTGGGCTCCTGGAGTCCCAGGATTTGGGAGTGAATGGAGTGAGTCACAGCGGGGCACGCGGCGCCTGCCTGGTGTCCCCGGTCCATGGTGTGAGCTCCTCTCCCAAACGCCGCCTCCTCAATGATGCGAGGGGAGCCCCTCCGCTGGCCTGTTGACCCCAGGGCGGCGGCATCCACAGCGGGCGGGCGACTCAGTGCGGGCACCGCGTGGTCAGGGAGGCTTGCCATGTCTGACCTGCCGCCGTGGGACCCCGGGCTACTCCCCACACCCGCGTCTGCAGGCATGCGCTTTGGGGCCTCCGTCTGCACTGCAGGAAAAGCTCTGTCCCTCGGGCTGGCCCGTGCTGTGCCTCGTGGTATTGCTAAGTGAACACCTTTGGTTCCAGCTCCTGGAGGGTTCTCAGTCCTGCCATCAAGTCTGCGGGGCCCTGGAGGGTCAGCGCGAGCCCCTTTATCCTGGGGGATGTCGAGGTAACCCGCGCCCTGCTGGTCAGCGTCTAGAGCCACCTCCACGAGGGAAGGGCCAACCCCCGTGTCCTGGATGCTGGATCCCCCATCGCTGGGTGGATGGCCCTGTCCTGGGGCTTCTATGCTGCTGGCCAGCTGGCCCGGAGTTTCAGCAGGACCTGTGCCTGGCCGCACGGCGCCCGCGTCTTCAGTGGCCTCCTCTGGGCTACTGATCTGGGGCGCCGACGCCGACTTGGTCAGCTTGGTGAGCAGCGCCAGCTCCCACTCCTCCTCCTCGAAAGGCAGGGAGCTGATGGAGGTGAGGGACGCCTGGATCCCGCTGGGCAAGCTCAGGCTGCTCTCCGTGTGCCCGCCCTCCAGGGAGTTCCTGTGCGGGGTATGTCTGCGAAGCAGTGGGTGTGACACTTCCCGGTCACTGGGCACCTCCAGGGCCCGGCCCCGGGCCTCGGACCAGGCCATGGAGCTCGGCTCACTCTCAATGCCTGAATCCGAGATGAGCGAGGACGATCTCTTGATGACCCCGGACAGCACGGACCCTTCCTCCTGCTCCTCTGGGGGCGGGTCCCTCAGGGCAGCCCTGGCCTCCGGGGGATCCCTCAGAGCAGAGCTCAGTGGCCCGCAAGGCTCCCTGGGGAAGGGCTTCAGACTTAGCAGCAGCGTCTTGGCCTCCTGGTCGGCTCCCTTCCCGGGAGCCCTTGACTCCAGGAGCGGGGTTTTCTCCCACGAGATGGCAGGCTGACGACTCCCGCCTGCCAGCGCTTTGCTTGGCAGAGTGCTGTCCAGTTCACGGTTCTCGCGGAAGCGCCCACCCCCGTGCTGGTCACTCGTGGCCACTGTGGGTTCAGCTCGGCCTGGGTGCTTATTGCTGGACTTGACCTCAAGGTAGGCCAGCGTCGGGCCCCAGCCATCCTCTGGGCCTGGACTCCCTCCGGGCGGGTCGTCATCTGCCAGTGAATCCATCCCGACATCAGCCCTCTGGCCAGTGCGACCTTCACCTGCAGGCACAGCTGCTGTGTCCGGGGACTCCCCAATTGTCAGATACACCTGAGACTCGGAAAGCACGTCCGCAGGACTTGGGGTGCCCACCTCTTCCTCTGACGCCGGCCCACGAAGCACCTCTTCATCGCAGTCCATTTGGGGTGGTTTCGGGGTGGGCAGGATGAGGTTTTCCCGAAAAGATGAATTTCTGTTTACAAGAGGGTCCTCTTCTCTGTCTTTTAAACTCATTTTGGCGGGACTTGTGGCTGGAACATTGAAATTAGGGTAAACACTCAAACTCTGCCCTACAAAAAGAAAGAAACAGCAGCAGCAGCAGCAGCAGCACCATAACTTAGGAATCTGTGCTCACAACGTGTCCAAACGCCTGACTGTACCAGGAGAAATGAGGCTGGACTTAGGCCTGGTTCCTGGGAGGTAACCTGAACCCGCAGCATTTCCCAAGCAATGGAATGTCTGTTTCATGGGCCCTGATACTCATGCAACCAGGTGCTGGTGGTGAGTCCTCTGACAGTTTATGCCAAAGGGATGGCTCTGGCCGGGCTGGCAGTGCCAGGAAAGCCAACCCTGAGGTTAGGTGGGCGGGGCTTTGTGCCAGGAGACACCACGCCAGCCTCTGATGGGGGAAGGTGGGCTGAGCAGGGCTGGTCTTCTATTTTCCTTTAAAAGCTTAAATCCTCCTTATGGTTTTAATAGACGTTGAAGGATTGTAACCCCCACAGAACGTTAACATGGAGTAAGCCACTGAGACACTCCCATAGAAACGCATGGGCTCTGCGGGACCCTCATCGCACCCCCCAGCGTGAAAGGCACGGTTGGGTCAAGGGCTGGGACGAAGATCGTAGGGAAATGGGTCTCTTGCTTCCCTGGACACGTTCTTTGCGTCTCGAGAGGCTGAGCTAATTTCCCTTCCCCCGGGAGCCGTCCCACAGGCCACAGCAAGTTAGACGTCCTCATTGCGTATCCCGGCATCCTCTCTGCACACATTACAGTACACGCCTACCCCCATGCTATAACCCACATGTACAGTACACGCCTACCCCATGCTATAACCCACATGTACAGTACACACCTACCCCATGCTATAACCCACATGTAATGTAACATGCCTACCCCCATGCTATAACTCACATGTACAGTAACACGCCTACCCCTATGCGATAACCCACATGTAATGTAACACGCCTACCCCCATGCTATAACCCACATGTAATGTAACACGCCTACCACCATACTGTAACCCATGGTGCATTTCTTATTCCCACCGGAGAGAAGAGCCTGTGTTTTAGGAATATCTACACCCCAAGGCCAGCACCGTGGCTGCCATGTGGTCATAGAATCACATTCACAAATGCCTTGAAGAGAACCGAGACACAGCTGACCCGAGGCAATGAGTCTCCGGAACTGGCTGCATTGGTTTGGAAAAAATGCACCTTCACCCTCATTTAGTCCCACACATGGTGCACTCACATGTCCTACAGGCAAAGCCCTATACTTGGCCATGGCTTAGGGAGAGGGAAAGTGAGGATGCATTATAGTAGTGAGCCAGTCTCTGCTTTTAAGGGTTTTAAGAAATAGTAAGGCCTGGGTGGCGTGGCTCAGTGGTTGAGCATCAACCTATGAACCAGGAGGTCACGGTTGGATTCCCAGTCAGGGCACATGCACAGGTTGTGAGCTCGACCCCCAGTAGGAGGCATGCAGGAGGCAGTGGATCAGTGATTCTCTCTCATCATTGATGTTTCTCTCTCTCCCTCTGCCTTCCTCTCTGAAATCAATTAAAATGTATTGAAAAAAATATTGAGAAACATATGCAGAACGGTGGCTGGGTCTCCTGCCAAAGGAAACGTGGGCTGTACCCTGCAGATTGTGAATCCACCGTCTTGCAGGAAGGAGATGAGTCGTGCCAGGAAGGGGGCGGCGTGGGCACAGGCCCCGGCGTCTGGGCGCACCGTCTAGTCAGGCCTCACGTATCCCATGTGGATGGAGCAAGAGTGACCAGAGGGGATGGGGGTGAGGTTAGACGGTTAGATGGATGCGCTTGAACGCCCTGTGTAAATGTGGGGTCTGGGCCTCCTAGTACAGGCAGCAGGTGTGGTGGGTCCTTGGAGCAGACGGAACAGATGGATCAGATTGATCCGGGACGGTTGAGACGGGACGTAGGGAGGCCAGTGAGGAAGCCCGATGCTGCCCGAAGAGCAACATGCTGCTTTCACTTCTATGACTGAGGAACGATGAGAGGAGCAGAGGGTCTCACGCAGAGAGTAGACGTAGAGTGGGTCACCCGAGAGCCACATTGCAGCCGTCATACACGGTGTGGACACTAGGTGGCAGGGTTCACCTGAGAGCCAAATGCATCCTCCTTCCTGAGGCTGTGCTGCCCTGGAAGTCACCTGACTTTTCAAACACGCTACAAATCTCAGCTTGCAGCCGCCCTGAAAACATCGATAAGCGAGCGACCCAGGGGCTGGGTGCCTCCTGCATGCACCCTGACCAGGCCGGGGATCAAGCCTGCAACATGCCCTTGACCGAAGTGGAACCGGGACCCTTCAGTCCGCGGGCTGACTTGCTATCCACTGAGCCAAACCTACTAGGGCTTAAGAAACTCCTTCCCTCACCCAGTCCCACTGCTGTTGGGACTTGAACAGAGCAATGGACAGGGGCCCACTGGTAAGCGCTGTTCTTAAGTCTCCAAAACCAAGACACACCTGGCGCGGGGCAGTCCACGTATCTGTCCTCGAAGATGACGGGCAGGGTGCTGCCGTCGCCGTCGATGTCCAGGCACTCGGCGGGCAGCGGGGGCATGGTGCTCAGGTACTCCGAGTTCCGCAGGTCCAGGGACAGCTGGCTGTGCGACTGCACCCTGGGGGCACGGCCCGGGGAGCATCCGAAGAGTTACAGGCTTTCAACTTGCCGCCCGCCCCCTTCTCCCAGGAAAACCTTCAGGAATGTTCAGCACACTCGGACCTCACCGTCTGTCCGCCGCCCTTTCCTCCCCGCCCCCGTGGCCCTCGTGGGACTTGTGTGGCCAAGGCCAACACGTCTTGGGGACGCTGTTCTGCTCGCCAGGGAACCCGAAGAGGGGAGGACCCCATCTGTCAACCCTCTGACTCTTCTGAGTAGGTTTTAATTTTTTCTTTAATTTTGTAGAAAGGGGAACTTAAACATTCATCAGTCCCCTCCATGAGGGAGTTCTGTCTTAAATCTTATGCTAAAGGCATTTCACAGCCACGGCCAAGTCCCTGGGTCTTGTCTCACATACTCATGGTCACAGCCACACCATCTGCTTCTAACTGCTTTTTGCAGAGGACTCGCCGCAGGCGCCTTTGGGGGCCTGGGAGCCCTGTTCTGTCTGCAGAACCACAATGACACTCAGCATGAGGAGGCAGGGCTGGG